TTTCAGGTTCATTTTTCACTAAGAATGCATATGTTTTCACCAAAAAACAACAGCAATTACACATATTAACAAAAATGTATTAGAATCACTGAATTAACCAAGGGTTGAAAAATATTAAAATTGTTTTTTAATTATTTATTTATATATTCAAAATTATATAACATAACAGGTCTTCATTTCTTGTCATCCTTTGTAAATATATTCAAAATTATATCAGATCATATTTCACGTTTTTTTCACTAAAAGCAAACACATTAACAATAATGTTGGAAAATCTCTGAATTAAACAAAAACTTGAAATTAAAAATGTGTTTTTTAATTATTTATTTATATATTAATAATTATATTAGATTATATTTCAGGTTCCTTTTTCACTCAAAATGCCCATATTTTCACAAAAAAAAGCAAATGCATCAACAGTAATAAGCCTGAAGCAAGATGACGTTTTACCCCCGTCTCTATACCATAATCCTTTTCACACTGCTTTTGTTCTTTAATTATGACTATTGTTCCTGTATTCTCTAAGGAAACAAAAATTCTAATATGAAAGAATTTTAAAAACTATTATGGTATAGAGTCGGCGCGGGGGTAAAATGTCATCTTGCTTCAGGCTTATATCTGAGAATCACTGAATTAAACAAAGACTGAAAAATAATCTTTTAAATTGTCATTTTTAATCCAAGTTAAAAAAGGCTGCTAGGAAGAATAAATATGTTAGATTATATTTCAGGTTCCTTTTTTGCTCAAAATGCATACATTTTCACGAAAACAAAAGCAAACACATTAACAGAAATGTCTGAGAATCACTGAATAAATAAAAAGTGTGAAAAAAATCGTTTTTAGCTGTTTTTAATAAGAGGAAAAAAGGGTGATTGGAAGAAAAATCATTTTATTAAAAAAGGAAATTTAAAGAATACTTTCCCAAAAATATTCCTGCATATTTTCTTTCATTCAATAATTGAATAATTCTTCATTTTGTGAATAAAAAAATAGGCTTCTGATATAACATTAGTATTAATAACTTGTTATTAAAATGGACTGATACTGCCAGTAAACTTGAATTAAAGTAATAATTATCACCATAGAGTTGTTATCTATATTAAACATCTACTCTCTGGCATAAAACGAGAATTGGTATTGCTTAAGAAGGCTAGTGAATAACTAGTTCAGGGTTTAATAATAGAGTCTTGGAAGGCTCATTCTTTTCAAATTTGAAAAGTAAACAAACTGTTTAAACATAACATGTCTTCATTTCTTGTCATCCTTTGTAAATAACTTTACTATTTTTTTCCCCATTTACTTTTCTACTTAATTTGCAATTTGTTTTGCTTTTAACGATCCATTTTCCAATGTGTGCAATTTGTATGTTGTAAGTCTTATGCCAGGATACGGAAATGCAGGAAGAGATGGGAAATATTGCCCACTCACACAGCCAATCAGAAAGCATGATTTTTAGGATACTAGTGCGGAGAAAAATATATAACCTTATAAAAAAGAAAAAAAATGTATCAAAATTATATTTGTTGCATAGAAGAAATCATAACTATCGAAGGAAGTAATATGGAAATTTATTATCCAACTCTTATACTGACAGTAGAGTACAGATATCGTAGGAGGAAATCTGGAGCAAGTACATATATCCAGTGATAATAATTGTACTCTACAAATTACAATATTATTTGCAATACAGTAGTAGTTGAATTAATATATAACTTAATAATTAGTTGATTCCCTCGAGAATATAAAGCTTAAGTTTGTTAATGCTAGTGTCTTTGTGCATCTTGAAACACTTGACTCGAAAAATCTATCCTTCCAACCAACATAATTTATGTGAGAAAGGTCAATTTTGTAAAGTTAGACATCTCAACTGCAAAACATCAGTTTTTACATTTGCAATTTACATCATACAAGATTTGCAGTCATAATAAATTGAACATATTTTGATTGAGAGATTTAAGTCTAGACTTTTGACTAGACTTCCTGTCTTGAACATATACGGAAGATTAACAAATAGACATCAGTTTTTTGTGTCTGTCCTCTTATTGACAATAAATTGCATCATCACATTGTCAAAGTAATGTGGATCCACGAGGCATAGCCGATGATAAAAGCTTCTCATTTTTAGCAATTTTTAGAACACGCACTCATTGATCTCAGCTTTGTGTTTTTGTCCTCTTATTCATGTTCAAAAAGCTCATTAATAATTCATGAAAGAAACACAGTAGAAATCATGACCATGAAGGAGGTTTTATATTTGATATAGATTCGTCTTCATTTGCATAAACTTTAACTTGGATTTTCTCTATCAAACTTGGTTCATTTCGTAAAGAATTCAGTATGATACGAAAACATACATCATCAGTTTTTTAAGTCGTTTAATAAACTCGCAGATCATGTTTTATTGGGTCTAAAACCACTCGGCTGCGCCCCTGTTTTATGCCCGATAAAATGCTCCTGCTCCAATCACCACGCGAGAAATTTGTAAGTTATTGTAAAAAACCTTACAGACACATACACGGAACCTCAAACCTTAATCCGACTTGATTGCTATTTATTACAGAGGGTATTCCTCAAGTGCATTACTTTGGTCCATGTGGCAAGTATAATGCTTTGGTTATGGAACTGCTTGGACCCAGTCTGGAGGATCTCTTTGATCTTTGTAACAGACAGTTCTCTCTTAGAACTGTTCTTTCAATTGCTATTCAGTTGGTAAGTAATGTTTTCTTCTGTAGTTCCAGGAAGATACATATTCATACCTATTAATCTTCATGGAGGGTTGGTGGGGTGGTAGTGGAATTGAAAGTGAAATGTAGGACTTGAGAAGGTTACTGTTAATACCTACAACTCCCTTGTGGAAGGAGGGGGGTGGGTTCCTAGTGTTGGGAGAGTCTGAATAGGGTAGTTATCCGCACCTCGCTTGTGTAAGGAGTGGGGTGGGTTCCTAGTGTTGGGAGAGTCTGGGTAGGGTAGTTATCCGCACCTCCCTTGTGTAAGGAGTGGGGTGAGTTCTTAGTGTTAGGAGAGTCTGAGTAGGGTAGTGATCCGCACCTCCCTTGTGTAAGGAGGGGGGCTTGCTAGTGTGGGGAGGGTCTGAGTAGGGTAGTTATCTGCACCTCCCTTGTGTAAGGAGGGGGGCTTGCTAGTGTGGGGAGGGTCTGAGCAGGGAATGACCCTGTATAATGTAGTATGCTTCTGAAATACTTACAGTTTGTAAATTTTAATTTTAATTTCAGCTCAGTAGAGTGGAATATGTGCATTCAAAAAATATGATCTACAGGGATATTAAACCTGAAAACTTTCTCATCGGTCGAAAATCGACGGGAAAAGACAAATTAATTCACATAATTGACTTTGGACTTGCAAAGGAATATATTGATCCAGAAACCAAAAAACATATTCCGTACAGAGAACACAAGAGTTTAACAGGAACAGCAAGATACATGAGTATAAATACACATCTTGGAAAAGGTAGGCACCATAAAGGGACTTCTTATATTCTTAGTGAATCAATGGTGGCAATATTTCCATTCTAGAGTTGAGGAAAAAACTAAGTCAAGATTGCAGTGCACTGTGGGCCTATTTTAGGGAACATATTTCCAAGATGGCATCAATTTTATTTCTTGATCTACGAAATGCTATACATTAAAGACCGTAAACCAGAACTTAACAAACAATCAGACTCTATTAGAGAGAGAGAGACAGGGTTCGTGCTACTCCTTAAAGTGCAAATGAACCCTT